GACTCGCCACTGTGCCAACACGCACCACAACATGTCACTACAAACGTCGCCCTCTAAGCACTGAACTGCGCCTCGACACCGCTCGAGCTAATAAAGGCCACTCGAGGCGCTTGCTCTGCTCTCATTGGTCGTATGCAAGTTGACGTACTTGTAATTTTAAAAAGATCTAAATACAAATGTCATCGAGTTTCTACTTTCGAGAAAAAGGAATTAAATTAATAATTTTATCTTAAACAATATTAAAACGCAAGACAATAACGTTTGTTACACATAAAGCAACAGTCAATTTATAGCTTCCTGCGACATATATATATATATATTTATATCGATGTCGCGAGTAACACCTAGTGTCTAATAAGACTGTATTGTAAAAGAATACGGCAATTTTGTAGATCATTTCTGAAAGTGAAGTCAACTAGTCACGCACTACGACTTCTAGAACGGTCTAGGCTAAATATCAGCAAATCAGTTGGAAAGTTTCATGTATAAAATATTTATGTGCGTTTTTAGCGCATTTATACTAGCATAGTTTTTAGTGTAATTTAAATTTTTGTGTAGCAATATCGGGTGTTACCATCAGTTGTTATACCGGATTAACGTGAATAAAGATTGATGTAGATGGTAATAAAATAGTCGCTTTTCAGGTAAAAATAAGATTTATGAGAGCTTTTGCTCGTTTTTCAAAGCATAAGCCGACAGCGTAACTACTTTTTTTTAACCTGATTTTACAAGATTCACTTTGCTATGTCTAATACTATATTCACAGGATGACATCAGTTTGAAAATTTAGGATATCCCATTAGAACTGAAGTTGTAAATTGTATTAATTACTTTGTAAGGTGGCTTTTATAATACATATTCCGTATTTTGTGCAAATTATTAGATAGATTGAGGTGAAGTCTCTCTTATACATCTCAACAGCCGTCATATCTGAATTCATTCTTACTATATGGCTTTGTTTATAACAATTCTGAACACATTTTTCTAGTATTAGCGCTACATTCTTTTGTTTTATTAAAGGTTTTTGTTTAAAGATATTTAATTGGTGTAGCAAATAGTAGGGGCCGTGTTGTGGGTTTACTCTTCCCGGTAACGGTAGTGGAATAATCTTCAATACGGGTTTGTTTTAGAAATTGTGCGCTAGTCGTGGCCATTTGTGCGCTTCTTTCTCGCTACTCGATTTATGCATCGCCATTTGGGATACCATTTTGCGGTTAACAAGAAATGCATACATCTACAGACTTATCATACTCCAT